TTTCAGGGTTATCGGCTTGCCGCCAGAGGAGGAGTGGCCGACTGATGTTACACTATCAAGGAAAAACTTCCCCACTCTCACGGCTCGCCCAATCACGGACTTTGTCCCAGAGATAAATGAGCATGGGGCGCAACTGTTGCTGGTAAGGCTCGTGAATTAAATCATTAGAGCGGCTTTGCATCCTGCCTGGTAGTTGATTTATGTCTCAGCTACATACCGAGTTAAAATCAGGGCATTAACAGATTAAGCAACCTCAGATCCCAGAAGAATTTCATTTGCCTTAAACACGAGCCTCAGGAAATCAACTGCTGCGATCCTGACAAATTCCTGTGACTCCTTTTGCTTATTCAGCTGGTTGTGTTAGAGGAGAAACCCGGACTTGTGGAAGTGCCCTTTTAAGAAAAGGGTTTTGTTCGCATGCTTTACAGAGTGCTGGTTAAAGAGGAAATATGACTTAAATTGACATTTTAAATGGAATATTTAAAGGAGATTTACAGTAAATGTTCATTCCTGTGATTAAAGGCGTTACCTAACTATTTAAAGTAGACAGAAGATTTGATCATGTCTCCCTGTATGATGTGATAAATAATAGAAACACAAGTGCTTTTACTTCTCGGTTTCACTGCAGAATTGATAAATAGGACTGAATCTGCCAGTTAATCTTCTCTGGTGCAGGAAACATACCTCCGAGATCTTTTTGCTCCATGTTGACATGATAGCATCACACAGTTGCTGCACATTCATGATGTGAATCACCCATTTAACCACATGCCAAAGGTGCTGTGGAGGCCATCCGAGTACAGTGAACTCATTGGCATGTTCAAGGAACCAGTGTGAGATGATCTGAGCTTTGTGACATGCTATCCAGCTGGATGGGTACACTGTGGTCATAAAGGGATGGTCATGGTCAGCAGGCTGGTAGGCTGTAGCATTTAAATGGTGCTCAGTGGTTCTAAGGAGTCCAAGATATGCCAAGAAAATAGCCACCAGCAGCAGCAGCTTGAACCATACAAGACACGATGGAGCCATCTTTTCATGTTGGTTACCCCAAAGTCTGACCCTACCATCTGAAAGTCACAGCAGAAATCGAAAGACCAGCCGATGTTTTTCAGTCTTCTGTCGTGTGAATTGTAGCCTCAGTTCCTGTTTTAGCTGACAGGAGGAGCACCTGGTGTGGTCTTCTGCTGCTGTAGCACGTCTGCTTCGAGGTTTGATGTGCTATGCATTCAGAAGTCTGCCCATTCCCCTCTGACCTCTAAACTCAGAACTGCCGCCCACTGGACATTTTCTCTTTTTTTTCTTTGGAAACCCTAGAGATGGTTGTGTGGGAAAATCCCAGTAGCTCAGTAGTTTTAGAAATACTCAGACTGGCCTTTCTGACACTACAACCGTGCCACATTCAAACTTACATCCTCTTTCTTCCTGATTCTGATGCCCAGCTTGTCTTGACCATGTCTACATGCCAGTTGCTGTCATGTGACTGGCTGATTAGATATTCTTTGGCAGTTCATCAAACTGTCCATTAAAGAGCTCACAACGTACAGTGACACACTTCTAACATCGTGCTACTCTTTCCTCCACAGAAAATGCTGACCTTTGACCCCTTGAAACGAATATCAGCCTTAAACGCACTAGAACATGAATATTTTCGGGACGAGGCGACGTCGACTCAGACAAAAAGCTGAAGTCGTCCAGGGAAGCGCGCAGCAAGAGGTAACAGTGTCGGAAGTTTCGACGTATCAGTGTCATTCACCGCTCTGCCTTTCACGATGTCTGCTTCGGAATATTATTTTGTTATTCCCGCATCACAAAAAAAAGGTAAAAGGCTGAGAACGAGGAATGAAATGAGGATCGCTGCTATGGTTCTCAATGTGTAAATGTAACGAGTAATAACGTGTCACGTCTTAAAGGACAGTACCAGTGTTTTTTCACGTATCAGTATCGTCAGCTGGCACTCATAAACACAAAAGTCGTGTCATCGCCGACAAAATGTTCCTCCTGCGACATTTCTGGACGTGTCAGATTAGAAAAGCCATTAGATAGTGAGTTTACTGTAGCTGTATTAATATAATACAATAGGAACAATAACATTGTAAGACTGTGACAGGCATTGAGCTGTATGTAAATGATTTAAGCTAGCTGTGTTAAATTCGTGAGGAAAAGGAACAAGTAGAAGTGGATAAGCACACAAGAACGACACACCTTATAAAAATACTGGTATTGCCCTTGAATTAGCTCAAGAAACAAAAGTATTTTTCTATGTGCTGAAAGACTGAATGGGTGTAGTTCATTTCGTGTTTAACATTTGTCTTCTGTTGCTGCAACCATCTGAAATCAGTCATCACTGCAAATATAAATAAATGTTTCAACCACACTGAGGCTTAATTGTGTTTTATTACACAGATTGGGGGTCTGTGGAATGAATGAAACCGAAAAATGGACTGAAATGTGTTTCTTGAATGAACATGAGGTATAAAATTGTGAATCGTGCCATCATTAGCATATTCAATTAGACGGTACTGTGAAAGCCCCCCCTCACTTCTTTATTTTTGTTAGGTAAATGGGACTGATTCAGTGCAACAAGTGCGAGTATTTAAGGCAAAACAGAGTTCGTAATATTTAATATTTTGTATGACCACCTTTATTCATCAACACAGCCTGAACTCTCTTAGGCAAGCTTCGTCATCATTGCTGTAAGTAGTGTCTTGGGAATAGTTCTCTGGACTTCTTGAGGGGCATTCAATGATCTTCTTTGGATGTTTTCTGCTTTTTATTCTGTTTTTGGTCAAGATGATCTCTCGCTGCTTGAATAATTTTGAGGTTTGGGCTCTGGTGAAGCAGATCCGTCACTGATAGTGTTTTGCTGTGTTTTTTCTATTTAGGTATGCTTCAAAAATAAAGTTACTGGGTGAAGGTTTCCAGTATTACATGGTAGATAAATTCATAATCACTCATAATTCCATCAGTTTTGACACAAACTCCAACACACTGGCTGAAACCATCACAGAGCCTCCACTGTGTTTTACACATGGCTGCTGTACCTCTCTCCTCACCTCCTCCATACCTGTTGATGACAATTTGAACCAAAGATGTCTCAGATCCATCACGCCATCAGACCTGTTGCCACTGATTTTTAGTCCAGTCCTTGTGTATTTTGGCATTTTTCTGCCTCCTTCACTTTCTTAAGGATGCCTTAATAATCCCACCTTTCCACTGAGACCATTGAAGCTTTAGAGAACAGTAGATGGATCAACTGAAGAGGATTTGGGTTTTTCAGATACTGTTTTTTCTTTTTTTTTTATGCCTGCCACTTCATCATTTGTTCTGCACGTGTTCAGTTTCTTCAGATTTTTTAAGGAGACGCTGCACAGCATGCCGAGATGTGCCATGTTTTCTACTTTGGGAGTAAACTTACATGAGAAAAAATGTGATTTTTATGCCTGTCAAACTGTGCTGTTTGTGACATTTTTTGTAGATATATCTAAAGAAATTTGGGGGAAAAATACTTTTTTATATTTTTCTTTTATTTGAATGAAGTTTTATTTGTCTCATGTAGACATTACATTAGTGCATCCACTGAGTTAGGCGCATTTTTAATGCTTGAATGACTCATAGGTCAGTGTGAAGTAGTTTAACAAATAAACAGTAAAGAAAACTTCGAAAGACCTTCAGAAAGCACAGATTGCTCAAAAGCATTTTAAGCTTTGCAAGAAAGTCCAGCTGCTTGGATGTGAACTATAAAGAAATGAGAGTTGGCTGAAAGACTTTTTCACAGTACTACACAATAGCAATAGGCACTAGTAAGAAATGCGTTTATAGAGTGTTTTAGACTGTTAAAAGCAATATTTAAATCCCCAGGTCTATCTTGATTTGGTTAGATGAATACATTTACATTAACAGTTAACTTTGTGCTTTTGCAGCATTCCCATTGTTAGCAAAAAGCTCTAAATGTTATCAAGGCTGAAAAAGGTGAATTAAGTAAAGACGTATGAATGTAATGTTTTGGCAGGTAAGCACAAAACCACATATTAAACACTGTTCTGCTTTTTAAACGTGGGTTTTAACTTTCACCTAAATGGCAACCACCTGTGGCTACAAAGAAAACACTCAAAAAACCTGAAAATTAAACAGGCATTTGAAAATAGCGCCATTATTAGCACAACTGAAATATCTGACACATACTGTATATGAGTAATAGCCATTTTTGACTTTTACGTATTAGTTAAGTATGGAAACGAATAGATATCATTCCAGATATGTGCAAAAAGCAAAGTGAACGGTTAACAAGTAAATTATAAAGTACATATCAAAAAATGAGCAACAGAAATGCCAGCGAAGATTTAAGTCGATGAGATAAGATAGGATGAGATGAGAGCCTTTATTAGTCCCAGAGTTAGCTTCAATGTGTGTGATTGTACTGCTGCTGAAAGAAACTCTACTTTTCATTATTAGCTGATTATGATGCTACTATTAGAATTTCAGCAGCCTTAATAAATCACAATATGTTTAGTAAACATCTTAAAACCACAAAGGCTTTAACATAACATACGGATGCCCATAGGTTTTACGGCTCGATCTTCTGTTTTTAATCGAGACAACAACAACTGTGACTCTGCGGTTTAAATGTAAGCGTGAGAAGAAAGCCGTTTGCTTGATCCCTGAGTCATGTTGTTGATGCTGACAGGTTCATGATTAAGAGACAAGACAAAATAGGACCTTCTACCTGAAGGTTGTGTATTGCGTTACTTCTAAAGTATGTTTTTGTCCTTCCGCATCTTGTATCTTCTCTGATGTCTTCCACCTAACTTATCATCAATATCTGCAGTTTTCCCTCCATTTCTCCTGCTGTTACTGTAGATAGCTTCCCTCCCTCAAAAACCTATCTTCTGTTTAACATTTTCTATATCTTTCTAATTGTTTTCCCCTTTAGAAACGATCCATCCTGTACATCCTCACTTTCTCACTCAAAGAGGACATGCAGTGAGGCAGAGAGAGAAAGCAGGAGCTGCTCACAAGGAGAGCGGAGAGAAAGAGCTAGAGACAGAGCAGATGCATTGGCAGGAGTAGAGCTGAGGCTTTTTTTCCCCTCCTTCCTGTCTCTCTTTGTGTGTGTGTGTGTGTGTGTGTGTGTGTGTGTGTGTGTGTGTGTGTGTGTGTGTGTCGGCACAGATAAAAAGAAAATGTGATGAAGGTGGGCAAGGACCACCACCGCCTCACAGCAAGCTGCTCATTCCCCAGCCTGATTGCCCGAGCCGTATCCAGCGTGGATGTGGTTGTGCGGCAGGCTAACGGCGCGTAAGCAGGGGGGCTCCATGGCTCTGTGGCAGTGAGAAGAGGAGGAAAGAAGGAGGAAAAAAAGGAGGAGGGGCTGTGGTGAGCTGGTGGGCTTCCTCTGCCTCACAGACACATTTTATTGACTTGCTAATTGGATGAGGCACTCGGAGGAGAGGATGCAGTGACCGAGAGGAGCTGCTCTCCAGAGGAGGCATACATGCAGAAGAAAGCATTGCTTGGGTTGTGGAAATCGGGCGACTTTATCCCTCTTTTTTTTTTTTTTTTTTTTTTTTTTTTTTTTTTTTTTAGCTTTTCTCGAGACATAACAACAGATGTTTTTTCAGCATCTCTCAGTGACCCTCGCACTGTGCATACATAATTTTATGCATGACATTGTCGATCGGAGGCTCCAGCTGCCAGACGCTTCGTGACAAGTGAATGATTTCCATTTTGTTGTTCCCCTTTCACCTGTTTTCATCTTCAGTTGGAGCTCTTTTCTGTCAGCCTTGTTTGATGTGCCATTTGATATGAATGGTAATCCGGCGGCAGGATGATTTCTTCGTCAGATCAAATGTGCACGAAGCCGTGAATGGATACTCTTCAGTGGGGAGAGAAAAAAAAGAAGGTATGATATGAGCAAAAGCCGAGACAAATATTGTAGTAGGGTGGCATTATACAGCTAGTATTAATATTAGCCCTATTCAAGAAATGGATCAGTCATGAATGTATAGACTGTTGCATAATTCCAGGCTGAAATCTGAGGCAGGGACACCTACTCTGTGGAAAGATATACCTTATTTAGATCCATCCATGTGTCTCTGTGTCAGATTTGCTCTGAATAAATGAATTTAAGAAGGAAAGCAAGGCAGAGAGGGAGAAGGATTATGAATGAATCAGTGGTAGAGACCAGTAGTAGTGGTGTGCATTGAAGAGGATTAATGGAGGCATTTAAAAAAAAAAAAACAGTCTAGACTTGTTTCACCAGTGGGTCAGCCTTCTGAATATATTCCATAAATTTGCAATTCAAGTGTTCCTCTATTTTTTATTACTGACTTCCTGTTTTTATTAAGGTTTTAAGAGCAAACTTGGACTACTGTCAAGTGCATTAGCCCGACATCAGCCAAAATCTGCCACACATCATTTGATCAGATCTGTATTTGATTTTGTTTTTTCTTCTGGTCTTCAGTCTCATCCTGGTTGCCATGACCGAGGTGTGCAGGTCTTTTGAGGTCAGAGAGCAGGTGTCACTGCACTGAGGTCTGCTGTCCCAATGAGCAAAGCGGCCAACCCACAGAGACGCACCACCTACCTCATATCCCTCACTCTGGTGAAGGTTGAGGCTTTGCCAGAGGATGTAGCAGGAAGCCAGACGGAGGCTCTTCCAGAGGGGGAAGGGAGCCCTAAGAAGGAGGAAGAGGAGGAGAAGGAGGAGCTGAACATTACTCCTGACAGGGAGGAAGAACCTGTGTGTTTGGAAGTGGCAGAAAAAGAAAACACAGAAGTAAAAGAGGAAGTGGAACAGGTGCGGGTCAAGTATGGCAGCCCTAGTGAGAACAGAGGGAAGCCTGAGAGGAGGGATGGACACCAAAAAGACACTGTATCGGTTGGTAAGAGCAAAGACGCTTCTTTTGAACACCCACCTGTCAAGCAAATGGTTAAAGTATACGGAGGAACTACCACAGAGGGAACTGCGCGCAGAGAGGGACCTCGCTCAGATGCCTTGCGCCCTAAGACTGAGCTCTACCGGGAGCCCCCCATGCTCTTCTTAAAGGGTGAAAATGGAGCGGACTTGAGCGGTCGTTCACGTTGCAGCCTCCCCTTTTCTGTCCCATCACAGGTCAGCCCACGTCCTGAAGTCTTGATGAGATCCCACGCAGGAGGTAACTCTGCATGGAGGGAGTTCAGAGAGACCAACACAACAACCTTGTATCACTCTGCAAAGACTTTGGACAGAAGGGATAACCGCTTTGGGGACCAGTCCCCCTTAACAGCAGCTACAACCATGGGGCCTTATAGGGCGTCCTGGGCCGACAGCGATGGCAGGGGGGCGCTCATCCGTCCCGGAGCTCCCGTCAGTGGAGGATATTCAGGCATAATGACCCGGGACAGCCCTCAGGGGGAGAGATTTAAGACAGTTTCCGTTTCCTTATCCGCTACCGACATGTCCAGGGCTCAGAGAAAGCCCACAAGTCGTACCCTGGACAACAGCGACCTACATTGCCTCTCCGAGGACCTGAAGAAGGGAAAGGAGGGACAGGGAGGAACAATCCACCGTGCTCCTCCTCCTCCCCCTCGTGATCGTAAGATGCTCAAGTTCATTAGTGGGATTTTTACCAAAAGTGCAGGCGTGCCAGCCGGCGTCAACACTCCACCTCCGCTGTATCCACCTGTGGAGAGAGGTTCGAGTGAGGAGGAAGGTAAGGCAACCTCATGAATCTACTATCTCTTCATACAAATGCAAATGAAGGCTGTAAACCAGGGGTGTCAAACTCAAATACACAGTGGGCCAAAATTCAAAACTGGAACAAAGTCGCAGGCTAACATTAAAATTTATTGAAATATATTTATTCCTCCAGATATAAGAATGAATCTTTTCTTATGGACTCAAACACGTTTTGCTGAAAAACTGAATATGGAACAAGCAAAGCTTAATACTAAACAATATATACATTAGCTGTATAATACCAGTAGGCCAGCTCTGATAGTAATTTGGTATGGCTTCGCGGGCCAAATGTAATTAGTCTGCGGGCCAAATTTGGCCCGCGGGCCGAGTTTGACACCTATGCTGTAAACAGTAGCACACCAGCACCCCTTTATTTGACAGTCTCACTCTTCTGGACTCTTTTGACAGACCCAGACCTAAATTAACACGTGCTTAAGAATCAGAGTTTGTTGTACATGGCGAACAATATGAATGAGATCTCTGGTGTAAAAGTGGCAAAAAAAAAAAAATCATTTCAGATATATTTTGTTCCACCCAACAGCAGTCCCTCGGGAGGAAAAAAATTAGCCAATTAAGATGATTAGTTTATTCTGTGTAATTAAGTAGGTCCCGTATTTATTACCCATGTATATTGCCTTCTCTGGAGTTTGTATGGAGCTAAACCCCTCAAAAAAACAAAACCGCCCCCTCTTAGTTATGCTCAAATGCGCTCGCTTATTTATTCACACGTTTAATTTATGTGAAGCACTTGGTGAAAGTTCTACGCAGACACAAGTATAGTGGAAAAAAATGCATTATCATTACTTTAGTTTGGCTTAACGATTTGTGTGAAACATCTTCTGTAATTAAAGGAGCTTGCAAAGAAAAGTGTCTGGACTTCTTTAAGTTGCTTGAAGACGTTTCACCTCTCATCCGAGAAGCTTCTTCTTCTTCTTCAGGTTTCACAATGAACCCACCTGAAACTCTGGCTGATTGGGGCCCGCACCCAATTTCACACCTTGGCTCAGGTGATTAGAGGATCATCAGGGGGTCCTTTTGTCCCTCTGTGGGGGGAAACTCCCACTAGGTTTATATCTGGGACTCTCCACCATTTGACCTTAGAACTGAAGAAGCTTCTCGGAAGAGAGGTGAAACGTCTTCAAGCAACTTAAAGAAGTCCAGACGCTTTTCTTTGCAAGCTCCTTTGACTACGATGACCTGGATGACTGAGAACCTTCACAGACATCTTCTGTAATTGTTTCCTTTGCACATTTCTCTGGGGAAATAGAAGACTTGTGTAAATAAAAAAATATAAAAAATAGCTAACATGAACATGTGGTAACTTTACAAGTGAGCTTTGTCACTATTGTTGTATTGCATGGTAGGTAACACCCGAAGGGCTAGAAATGTTCCAGTTACTTAAAGCTAATAGGTAACTTTTCCTATTTAGTGAGATCAGATGAAACAATTCCACTTATTCGTGGGCTCTTGGTGTATTTGAGATTAGTTTTAGGGTGGAATAATAATAAATATGTAGTCATAAACATATGAGGTGATCATGGGAGATAAGATTAGAAATGAGTGCATCAGAGGGGCAGCTCAGGTTGAGCAGTTTGGAGACAAAGTTAGAGAGGAAGGCTGAGATGGTTTTGACATGTGCAGAGGAGGGATAGTGGATAGTGCACTGCACAAAGGACGTTGAATACGGAGCTGCTAGGAGCATGAGGAAAAGAATAAGATCACAGAGAAGATTCGTGGATGCAGTGAAGGGAGGACATGCATAGGGTTGGTGTGACAGAGGAGGATGCTAGGGGTACGGAGATGAAGCAGATTATTCGCTGTGGCAACCTCTAAAGGGAGTAGCTAGAAGAAGAAGAAGAAGAAGAAGAAGAAGAAGCAATCATAATAACATCTGAGGAAATAGCATACCTTTGAGAATTTATAAGAATTACAACAAAAAGCAAAGAATGATGTTTTTGTATCTGGACATAGAAAATAAATACCTGAGTGTTTTTCTATGGATGAAGAGTATTTGTTTTTAAGGTTAAGTGGTATATGTCCTTTCAATATTCAATTACTCTTTCACGGCACAAGTGGGAAAAACACAGCTTAGCTACAGTAATGAATTTGTGCTGCTAATAGAAAACTTGCTGTCCAAAAACTGGTAAAAATGAACAATTTTGATAGTTATTGCAACCATTTCACATTTTTATTCGCTGTTCTCTTTGTGTTTAGCGGTTTAGGACCTTAGAAGCAATTTAAATATATCACCTTGTTTTATTGACCAATCATCTATTTAAGATGGTAATAGATGATGAAAACAAGCTTGTTGGTAATCATTAGATTTGCAGTGGAAAAAGTAAATGTCAAGTTAATATCTTAGTTAAAAATAGAAGCTGGATCTGATGTAGGCCTGCAGGATATCTGATGGAGAGGTGATTAGAATATCAGGTCACTGTGAATTTATAAACCTATGGCAAGAGGGGGGAAATTACAGCAAACTTTCTGAGAGAAGGGGAAGAGCTCCAAAGAGATTTTTAAAGTAAGAGTGTTTCAAATGTGTACAAGCTGTTCCTCCTTGGTAAAGCTGAGGCCATCACAGCAGTAAATAGCAAAGATGGGGTTTTTTCATGTGAAAATGCTGTCATGTGTCTTGAGTGCTTTGACTCTATGTTTGGGATATCAAACAAACAGAAATGTGTTCAGTGTTCATGATGCAACTCTATCAATTTTTCATTTTTTTTCTTTCTTTAAAAAAAATCTTTGACAGGGTGTGTAGGATTTGGAGTAAGCCCTGAATAATTTGTCGGGAGTAAGTGGGACATGAATAATTAAGGTTTGGGATACACAGAGCTGTGTTCATCGGCGGAGCGAGGGGAGCGGGTCCCCGCCACTTCCTGCTCTGTGCGTGGAGTTAATCAGCCTTCAAATGCAGTCCATTCATTTGTCAGCGTTATGTTGTGTCATGATGAGTCTGTAATTGCAGCTTAAAATGTCAGCGTTCTGCTGGCGGACAAACTCGCTGATTTTGATGCAGAAAATATTGGCCAACACCGGCAGAACGTGAGAGACGCGCGCAGTTTCGTGTTTTCAGGTGGACATCACGTCTCCATGCCTCTCACACACGTCGCTGTATCCATGAGAGACCGTTTATCGTATAGAGACCCAGGCTTGGATGGAGGCTTCTGGAAAATGGAGTTGCCATGGCAACAGCAAGCCGCGAGAGGTGCTATTTGGTCTGTGGTGTGACGCTCTTGATGGAGGGGAGTGTGGGTGCAGGTGGGGGGGATTGCCCAAAGATGGGGACGAGGGAGAGTGGAGTCGGTTTAAAGTTAGTATCTGTGTCCCCGTGGAACCAGGACGACGCTGCAGCTCGCTCCACCCAGCTCAGCGTGACCTGCCAGCTTCAGAGAGTGCGCGCGCGTGTGTGCGTGTGCAAGAAATGTCTGTGTCATTGTCTCTGGTGAGACAGTTTCCTCATCACTGTACATCTGTAAGCACTATCGCATTGTTTTTGCCCCCGCTGATGGGGATTTGTGTTGTTCCTTCAGCTTCATATTTGCACATGTGTCCTCTGTGGCTCTGTCTGTCTGTCTGCCCCTCTTTTTCTCTCTTTTTCAATGTCCATTCACCGACATCTTTCTGTCAAAGATAAAACAAAGGAGAATTCAGCCATAAAACCAGATCCAGAGCCTGTTCGCTACAAAGATATGCTTTATTTATAATGCAGCGCATAAAGGCATTTAAAGGGTAAAAGAAAAGCTGCAGATAATAATAAAATTGTAAATGAATTAAAGTTTTTAAAAATCTCTTTGTTTTAAAGAATTCTTTTGGCTGCCAATTCCTCAGCCCATGGGGATATATATATATGTATATATGTATATATTGTATATATGTATGTATTTGAATAATTTATATTGTAGTTAATTGAAGTATGGTTTTTGTTGACAATAGTAAGAGGTAATGAAAATAGATAGATAGATAGATAGATAGATAGATAGATAGATAGATAGATAGATAGATAGATAGATAGATAGATAGATAGATAGATAGATAGATAGATCGATCGATCTCACTGGTATAAAGCCTGAAACTAGTTGAGGTTATTATATAATATTCCTGCTGAATCTTGCATTTCTTTCAAGACAAATGTTGCAGCTGAGATTAAGTGACTTGTGATTTATACTTCTGTAGAGTCTGGAAAAGAAATGTATCCATGACCTCAGAATTAAATTAAAGGCTGAGCTACAGAGGAACAAAAATAAGAATAAGAATACATTTTAACAGTTGCCTTGGTACTCTACCTCCCACACTAATACTGCTGTCTGTGCTGCTGGTAAAGAGTTTTTATCATGTAATTTGTCCACTCTACAAAATATTATTTCAGCCTGTGACTGTAGGTTACACTGAGTGATAGAATTACACAGTAAAACAGGATTTGGTATTATGATGACAGTTAACCAATGTACTAGGTACATTTGGCCATACTCTCGCCATCATTTATCACTGTGACAGTTTTTAATAATTCTCAGTCATCATAGTTGACTGAGAATTAATGTTCATAATGTTCTGGTGATGTTCATATCGCTAAGAGGCAGTGACAGGAAAGCAACACAAACAGCTGTTTTTGCAGGGTCTAGTCATTCCACAAAGTGTGGTTAATGTAGTAAATATATTGTTAAAAATGCAATGAAAGAAGGTGTGTTGTGTATGAAAGTTTTTCACAGACAGTTCCTTCAGGAATGAAATATAGGATGGGAGGTAAATAGTGACTCAAATAGCCACTGTCATAACCGAGGTATGCAGAAGAGCATCCCAAATCTTGAAGCAGATGGGCTACAGCAGCAGAAGAACACACCCGGTGCCACTCCTGTCAGCTAAGAACAGGAAATTGAGATTATAATTCACAGTGGCTCATCAACATTTTGAACAAAAATAGATGCCTAGTAACTAAGTGAACACATTTTCTGTACAATAACAACGTTAACAGACGGAGGATTTAGTGCGCTCATCTCTAGAGTCCGACGTCTGCCGCAAGTTTAAAATGATGCTGATTATGAGTTAGCTATCATAAAGAGACATTTACTTTCTGTCTCCTCTCCTCCTCTAAACTGATTTCAACAAACTGTGTACACCCAGAGTCAGCCCTCAAGATTGTTTTCATACAAGGAAAATCTCCAGTGCAGTAAATCTGTGTGTTCCTTGAGTCCAGTGTTAGAGGATTACTCAACAAAACATTATTTCGCAGAATGCTGCATGAGCATACGTGTTTCTACAAATAATTCTGAAACACTGTGACTTATATTTGACTCAAATCTTAACCCACTTTAGGTTATTTGACTTTCTTATGCAAACGATCTTCCATCACAAGCCTTTTGAATCAGGTTTCATCTTCTCGATACCACAGAGCACCGAGTGGCATACTCGGTCTTGTTTCAGATGACACTGACTTCTATAAAATTCATGAAATGAGGGGAACTGCACAGGGAATAAAATGAATTATCTCACTCCAGCTGGCTCATATCTCTTTTCTTTTTCTTCTTTTAGTCTTCGAGGGTGAATAAAAGAATTAATGGCTCGTTAAGGTTGGTTTTGCCAGTTAATCACAGTAAGAGGGAGAAAAGAAGGTGGTTTAACAATGTTAGGGTAAAGTAAAGATACCTGCCATGCTGGCTAACTCGTATAGACTTGCACATTTGTACACTTGATTGAATTTTCTGGGTGCTCACAGTTGGGGGAGTGACAGCCTCTTTGAGCTCAGAGGGTGGATGGGGGCGCTTGAACATTAATGCTGCTCACTGTGTTGGATCCACAGATAGTTAGGCCAAACCCGGCCAGCAATCATACTACTGCTAAGTGTTTTTGGGACATTGTGTGTGTTTTAGAAACTCAAGGTTTATTATTATAGTTTTCTGCTTTATCCTGACTCTGAACTGAATCCAGTGACTGTTTTAGACCGTAACAATGCTGGAGACACTTAAAGTCATATTTTATTTTATTTATTTATTTTTTTATTTCAAATGAAGCTAACTAACTGTGGTTTTCACTCATCATCAAAAGCAACTTCATGGTTGCTAAGTCTGCTGTAAAATGTTACCAAGGGTTTAATGGTTGTGTTAAAGGGTTGAGTAGAGCTATTTTGCATAAAAATAGCAAGAATATGTTTAAATATAAATATATATTTTAAGTCAAATTATTTATTTAGGGGGCAGTACAGTAATGCAGTGGTTAGCATCACCTCACAACAAGAAGGTCTTGGCTTTGAATCCATCGGCCAGCCGAGTGCTCCCTCTGCGTGGAGTCTAAATGTTTTCTCCGAAGACTCCGGCTTCCTCTCGCGATCCAGAATGTTAGGTTTACCAACGACTCTAAATTAGCCATGGGCGTGAATATGAGCGGTACTGGTTGCCTCCATGATCTCTCCATGATAACCGTGTGACATACTGCCAGCCTGTCCACGGTGTACCCTGCCTCTTGCCCGATGACAGCTAGGATAGGCTCCAGCCCCCATGCAACCCTGACTTGGGTAAGATAAAGGTCAGGGATGGATGAATAATGTATTTATACTAAATCCTACCGAACTGACTCCAGATCAGCACATACACCCCTATAAAAACTATCAACTTAGAATATTGGGCCTGTTTTTAGGCTAGTTTTGATTAGTCACTGGGCTGCCTGCATCTCACACAAACCCCCTCAAAAATGAATGTGAGGAGCAATACCACCCAAAATAGCACATATACTCAAAGCAGGGGAATACCCAAGTGCTTTATGTTCTATATCACGTTATATATATTTGTTTGTTTTTGTTCCTGTGTTTCAACTCAACTTTTCACCGATGAATCCTGTCTTCCTCTGTTTTTGCTCTGAACGTTTGCCCTCAGTTGTATGCACCAGCAGTCAAGAATGGACGATGAGCCAAACTGTGCAAGAGCTACATCTGGTAAGCAGGAGACTATAGTTTTTACAAATCAGTTTGTGGATTTAATATTGAATTTATAATTTCTCTCTCTGTCTCTGCTCTTCAGGGTGTTTTGGGTGGTCTGTGCAGTGGGAAGTCTGCTCTGGTCCACAGACATTTAACTGGAAGTTACCTCCCACTGGAGAACTCAGAAGGTTGGTTTAACATCTCCACCCATTAAGAGCAGAGCTTTGTGAATTCAGTTCAGATTGATTTGGTTTAACTTATATAGTTGACAACAACAGTCATCTTAACTCTAAAATGTAAGGTAAAGGCTGAACACTATTAAAGTCAGATCTCCGACAAGCGACACCTGAGTCTCCTCCAGCAGATGGATGCTGGCTGTTTCTGATTTAGATGATCTAGGATCATTCTTTTAATCACTTTAATCACAATTTTAGTGCTGTAAATATCAAATGAGTTATTATGTAAAAGCTTTAAAAACATTTGTTTGTTCCAATATTTGCCAGGACGTCAGTATATTAAGGATGTGCTAGTTGATGGTCAGAGCCATCTGCTGATAATCAGAGAAGAGACAGAACTCCCGGATCCTCAGGTGGGTGGAAAATCGAGCTGAACTTGTTTGAGGGCTTATTTTTAATAAGAGTAAGTATTTCTTCCCTCTTGTACTTTTTGACTGCTATTATTTTTCCCTTTTGTTAGTTTGCAAGTTGGGTGGACGCAGTAATCTTGGTCTTCAGTTTGGAAAATGAGGCCAGCTTCCAGGAAGTTTACAAAATCTATCACCAGCTTGCAATCCATCGGCCCGTAACTGAGATCGCTTTCATAGTCGTCGGCACTCAGGGTAAGATGCTCACGCTCAGCATCTGCGCTTCCTTTATAATGAACTCTCGTTGTAGTTGGGTGATTTTTGCTTATTCCAGATAAGATCAGCAGCACCAACCCCAGAGTGATAGATGATGCCAGGGCCAGACAGCTCTGCTCAGATGTGCGGCGCTGCACTTACTATGAAACCTGTGCGACGTACGGCCTCAATGTGAACAGAGTCTTCACGGATGGTATGTACGTCCGTCATATCCAGAACCATATGGTGTGTGGTGCTGCAGAGGATGGACAAATATGATTTTTATTGGGGACTAATGTTTCATTTTTTAATTTAACTTCTGGGTTTGTTTTTTTTTGCCACAGCTGCTCAGAAGATCATGGCAGCTAAGAAACAAGCTGCCCTACTGGCTTCTTGTAAATCTCTTCCCAATTCTCCCAGCCACTCTGGAGGCTCCACCCCAGTCTCCGGTGTCTTTCCAGGACAGGTAAAACCAGCACCTTACCTGTTGTCCATAAGAAGCAGCTTTTGTTACTCTATTTTCTGTATTTCATTTTGCTGTCAGGCTATTTTTAAAGTGTGCATGCTGTTGTATCAGGCTTAGCTATTTGCTCCTTCTGCTCAATTATCACTTCATCTCCTCCGTCCTCCTCCTGTTCCTGTTTTTTTCCCTCTCTCTCCCTCTCTTTAGGCGAGTAACGGTGGGCAGAGCAGCGACTACTCGTCCTCACTTCCCTCCACTCCTGTGATCAGTCACAAAGAGATTGGCAGAACACTGAGAGGGGAGAAGCAGGACGGTACTACACCTGTCTTGGTCCGTAGCGTCCGAAGACGCACCACGAGATTTGCGGTAAACTTTACTCAGTGCAAGCTCCAATCATGCTTAGAGACCCTTTTGCATTTTTACTGTCAATCTTCTTTCCTCCACTTTTTTTCTTACTCCAAGCCAACCCTTCAGTAGGTTTCCATGTTTAGAAAATGAGCTGTAAACACTTGGCAGGACAAACCAAACCCAATGCAGGAACATACTTGTGGTCTTAAGTTATATAATACAGACAGCTAATTAAGCTGAAGTGACCCTACATTAACTACAGCGTGCTAAATTATCAGCTAACTGTAGGCACAAGCTGCGTCCAGTGATGCAAAATAATTCCAGTAAAATTGTTTTCCTCATCAAAGCTGAAGCACTGACTTCTTCTTTTTCTGTTTGTGGAATTAAGAAATTCAGGTAACTATGCAGCAAATTATTACTTGACATCGGCTTGGTCACATTGAAAAATCTTAGTGGTTCAAAATATAATTCTGATGATGCTGAAAGTTTGTTGCATGCTTTAGATAAGTACTGGGCAAAAGTCTTGAGCCATTCCTCATTTCCTTATATTTTGCTTCCCAGTAGCCAGGCTTTGTAGCAGTTGCTTTGAGTAATAGTTCTCCAGGGTTTCTGAAGTTTTTCTTAAAGTATTTTCAGAGAAATGTCTTTTTTGTTTGTTTTTTGACACTTTCTTAGTACATATTTTAAACTTATCTTTAGCCACTTTGTTACTAACAGGCTGTTTCAAAAAAGTAATGATCCCAAACACACAATGGATCACTATCATTCAGAGCCCGGACCTCAACATTATTAAAGTAGTGTGAGCTCAAACTGACAGACAACAAAACAAAAGGCAGTCAACATCCAACGGGGAGCTTTTAATGTCCGTCAAGAAGCCTGGAGAACTATTCCTGAAGACTACTTATAGAAATTAGAAGAAAACTTGCCTAAGAGAGTTTAAACTGTGCTAAAGAATACATATCATGCCATACCATATTTCCATTTATGTTTGTATATCACTGCATCTTTTTCTCATTTTCCACCCTTTATTTTGAAATATAGAGACATGAGGGATGGCTGAACACTTTTCCACATCATTGCAATAATATAGAGCAGAGTAATATAGAGATAGGTGGGGCTAACAGTCAAAGACAATACACTGGCAGAGACATGTTGTCATGTTCCTGGGTCTGTTGACCCAGCGTTTTAAGTTTTAGTTTATTTGGATGTTGTTTATGTTTAAGTTCATTAGATTAGCGAAGTTCATTTGGTTATTAGACTCCTTGTGTTTTCTTCCCCTGTATTTAAGTTTCTGCGTGTCTTATGTTATCAAGTTTGTATTATCATGTCTGTCTCATGTTTCCTGTTTTATTTTGAAGGAGTCGTGTGTTCTTTGTTCATTGTATGTTTCAATATATGTTTCACTTCCCCTGTCCTGTCATTAGGCTCATGTCAGTCAGCTGTTCCTCCATGTGTTCACACTTCCCCTAATCACCTCCTGTGTATTTAAGTCTCATTGTCAGGTCGTCTGTTGTCCACGCCATGCTTCCAAGTTTCATGTCTAGGTTTTTCTTGTTGTTTGTTTAGTTCTCCCAGTTTAGGTTAATGTTAGTTTTACTTTAGTTTGCCTTGCCCTTTGTTTGTACCTTTTTTACCAGCCATATTAAACGACTTGCTTTTTGTTAACATTCAAGTTTTGTTCCCTGTTCCTTGGAGTCTGCATTTTGGGTCCACTCTTCACAATATATACAGTCTGCCTCCACCAGACTCTGACACATGTACTGTAATATCCATTACAAACATTACATATTTGTAATGTCTATTATGTCTATAATGTAATTATAATATTATATTCACTTGGGGTTTTGTTGAATGCTGTGAAAATTCAGCCTTATGGGAAAAACAATCTGAAATGTCATTAAAAACCTGCATTAACAAATGTTTGCATCACCTTGGAGACCTACTCATCTGGCTGACTCAACATTTGAATCTAATAATTAATGCTTATGTTTAATCACATGGATCATACTGGCTTTTAAGCTGCTAAATGCACCACATATATAGAAATCCTTCACTCATTTTGTCAGTGTTTTTTTACACCGGGCAGGCAGTTTATTCAGAGGATTATCAGAACAGCAGCCTCCTGTGTCTGGGGCTGAAGTTGATTATAGTGAACCAGAAGAGTAAAGCTGTGGGTCAGAAAAGCTAAACAGTGGTCTTACAGACGCCATACAGATGAGGAAAACTACAGAATTAGGGTGGTAATTCTCTCTGCGTTTATTGCTATAAGTGACCAGAGCTGTAAGCATTTGATTAGACACTTGCATAAAAATACAGATTAATGCAGCTTCATGTAAAGCTACAGACAATTATTCTGAACCAGTTGCTATAAATACACACTTATAAGCCAGCTTTTACAGCCAGCAGAAACTTTCCAGCAGAAACTCTGGGAAATATAAATTAAAATCAGCAGTAAGCTGCCCATTCCTGCCTGATGCAGTTATTGTCCATCCTTCCCTTCCTTTAGGGCCGGAGAGGCAGCGACTCAAACAGAAGGAGCGCAGACTTTAAGGGCGATCTGGGCAGCGGGCGCTCCATTCCCATCAAACAGGTAGGGCACCGATTTGCACTTGATACAGAAACAAATATGATGTATCAGATGACCCTCAGCAGAGGACATCTCACCAGCAGTCACTTCAGACGTGTGAAGCCAATTTCATCGTGTGGCGTGATGAAGTGCTGTGAGCTCCCATTCTGCCCTGATGAATAGTTAGTGGGTGTTTTTGGCAGCCAGCTTTCATTATGCTGCCGTAATATGTGAAATGAACACTTGAGACATTAGCAATAAATTGACAGTCTTCTGTGTTGTCGCCTCTGTAAGGGCATCTTGCTGAAGCGCAGTGGGAACTCGCTCAACAAAGAGTGGAAGAAGAAGTATGTGACATTGTCCAATGATGGCATACTGTCCTATCACTCCAGTGTCAATGTGAGTCGGCGTGTTAACAGAGCGCTCCAGAGCATTATGCTGCTGAAAGCACGACTGATGTTTGATGGTAATGGCTGATGTCTGGTTTGGCAGGACTACATGCTGAATGCCCCCGGGAAAGAGATGGACCTGCTGCGAGTGACAGTGAAGGTGCCGGGAAAGCGGCCGCCTCGCGCCATCCCTGCCTGCGCCCCCCCAGCTGGGCTTAACGGACGGGTCAAAGACGTTCAAGGAACTGAGGGTAAAGATGTTCTCTATGGTACACAAAAGAGGGAAAAATCTTTAGATGTCTCACAATAGCTAAACCTTATATATATTTAAATAAACCTCATGTAAATTAATTATGTCATCTAAAGTTACTGTGATATTGAACAGATTTTGGTCTGGCTAATCTAAGAAGCTCAAGATTTTAAATCTCCATGCTGGTACTTTTCTCTGTGGAGCTGATAAGATGAAATATTTTACCTGATGACCTTTTTCTATTAGAGACAGTGATAAAAAAAAATGTAGATATATAGAAAAGAAGGCTGCAGAACTTCTTTGTACGTATTGTTCTTGGTATTTTAAGACGGTTGTAAATGGAGGGGTCAAGCATTTGTGCAAACGGGGGGAAATTGCAGCAGGCTGTGAAACCTCTGCAAGACTACAAAACAGCAGCATAAGGAATTTTGCAAGTGCTTTAAGAGTGTGTGGGGAAACTAAATCAGTAACGCATGCAAGTGTCAGAAAGCGTCACTGTTTGTTTTCACATTTAGTGTTTGACTAAATTGCTTTATTATTAAGTATGTGGTTGTTTATATGGTTGCTACCCTTCCTGTAGTCCCAATGAGTGCAAGCAGTCTCCTGCAAGTTGAGGAGATGGAGGGGCTGGGTGGTGCCCTGTTCCTGAGGGGTAACAGAGGTGTGCAGCGATGTCCTTCCACACTATCTAACCACGCTCAAAGCATTGGTGAGTATGGGACTGAAAACATGTAAGACAGTGAAATTTCTGAAATGTAACAAAAACAAAATGTTATTAAAAATGTTTCAAAACTACAAAGACAGCATGGCTGTGATCTTTGAGCCCTCACTGCATGGGTTCAGCAACACTTCACAGCACACTGTCATTAACGTCACCTCCACAAATGCAAGAAAAATCTTTACTTTGCAGAGAAAGAAAAACATTCTTTAAAAAAATTAGGAAGGCTGTCACCTTTTCAGGCCACAAGCTCATTTAGGCTGGACTGAGAAAAAGTAGGAAACTATTCTGTGGACCATCCAGTCACAATTTGAAATTATTCTTGGGTGGCATGGTTACCGCATCCTCCCAGCTACAGAGAAGAGGGACCATCCAGCTTGGTATCAGCATACAGTCCAGAAGCCAGCATCCATAAAGGCGTGGCACGATATTTGTGCATTTGGCCTGAAAGACATACAAAGGGTTCCCATGCAGATGATGTCATTTTCGGTAAATGTCTTGCTTTTTTTTTCAGCATGACAAAACATTCCTCACCATCTGCAGCTGTGTGGCTCCACAGCAAAAGAGCTCAGGTGCCGCCTGCAGTATTGAAAACGAATTTAACGATATGAAAAGAAAAACATGACAAATGAGGCCCTGAAATATTGAGCAGCTGAAATAGTATTTTGAGCTAGGATGGGAAAATATTTCTCTTTTAAAACAACAACAACATTTGTTTCACTTAGTTCTCATAAGCCCAGAGTTGATGCAACACAGTGGCAAACATGTCCCTGCACCAACCTTTTAAAAAGGTGTTGCTGATATCAAATTTAAAACGAGCACCTATTTAAAAAAAACAACATAGAAAAACCTTAAAATCTCTCAGTTTCAGCATTTGATTTTTATTTATTTTTTTACTATTTCCACCAATTTGTGAATGATTACATTCTGTGTATAAATCATACAGTGTCCTGCTTTTTCGGAAACAGGGTTGTAGTAATTTTACATTTGTTATCCTGTCTGCTCGTTACAAGACTCTGCAGTTGAGGGCGTCTCGAGCTCTTCCTCTACCAAAGACGTAGGTTCTGCCTCCCCTGTCACGGACAGAAAAAAGCATCGCAGAAAGAAGAGCATGAATCAGAAAGGAGATGCCACCGCCGGCCAAGCAGATGGTAAATGATTACAAGCTTCAAATATGTTTTCATAGGCACCGATCGGGATGTTTCTAATGATATTTGTAGCTTTACTACACATGACGAAGACTTTGTGTTTTTCGCTGATATTTTCTCTCTTCTCTTATGCAGCTAAGCGCAAAATGTGGAAACTCAAAAGCTTTGGTAGCTTAAGAAACGTAAGCAAGACAGGTAATATAAATCAGCTGCGCTGCCTCCACACATGCCAGGCTATCACATTAAGAGTCAAGCTTCTAATTTAAAATATTGACAATTAATCAATTAAATCCTGCAGATCAGCAGCATAAAACTAAACCTTGCTTATGCACAACTGTGATCCTGAAGTGATGTTAATAACCTACTGCTCAAATTTCTGCATCCAGAAATCATTAAAAAAAAAAAAAAATCTGAGCTCTGTGTTATTGTCTTTCTTGTCTCAGACGAGGATAACTTTGACTTCCTCGTTGTGTCGAGCACTGGTCAGACGTGGCATTTTGAAGCACAAAGTGTGGAAGAGAGGGACTCCTGGGTCCAAGCCATCGAGAACCAGATCCTGGCCAGCCTGCAGCTGTGTGAAAGCAGCAAAAACAAGGCAAGAAACGACAGGAAAACATTCACTCTCTGACACACAGCAATCTAGTTTTTCATTCATTCATTTTATTGCCAGTGACAAATGGTAAATATTACAGACTTCCTGCAGATAAAAAGCTCCTTGAGAAAAAACAAGAACAGTGATTTTTTTTTTAAAGATCCACCCTAAGTTGTTTTTTTTTTCTTTCTGTTACTGTCAGTACAATGACTGCGGTCATTCATCACTTTTTTCTTTGCAGAAATAGATTTAAACAGGAGAGTTCATACAAGTTCATTTATTCTGGTTACTGTTTGCCTCTCACAGGCTCGAAGGAACAGCCAGAGTGATGCAGTGGCTCTGCAGGCGATACGCAATGCAAAGGGCAACAACTTCTGTGTGGACTGTGACGCTCCCAGTAAGTCATGCTTGCCTATTTCATCCCTAATTTGACTGCTCTGTTTGCTTTCACGTTTGGAAGTTTTAATCAGAGCCGAGACCTCTTTTGTTGTTGGTGTAAGAAGCTGCATAGAGCGAGGAGAAAATAATTTGCTGCGGACTTGAACTTCTTTGTGTTCGGACTCTAGAACAAATGTGGACAATCATCGTGGAAAATGGGTATGACCCTCCTCCATCTGACAGTCTGAAAATAGCTTTCCGTGCCTTAGAGCGTTCAAAGTGGGGTACTTTTAACTTTTAAATTGGTATTTAGCATATTTGAAAACAGTCATTCATCCGCATGCTATGAGATAAAACAATGGAGTGTGAATGCAAATATTTTTACTGTATGTGCCTTTGTGTGGTATTTTTCACATCCCACACGTACCACATTTTTCATATGATCTCTGTATTGTTTGAGGGCCAGATAAAGAATTTTGATGACTTATCAGATCTAAATTAAATTTAATGCTGAGGTTTTTTTATGCTGATTTCTCAGACTCTTCTGTTGTGCACCATGGCCGATCGGGCGCATTTTAGTGGCACGCAGCCAAATGAAATTGGTAGACTGTCAGTTTCAAATGAAGTTAATTTGTTGTGTGCACGCTCCCTCTTCAAGATCCAACATGGGCCAGTCTGAATCTGGGCGCTCTCATATGCATCGAGTGTTCCGGCATCCACAGAAACCTGGGGACTCACCTGTCACGGGTTCGCTCTCTGGCGCTGGATGATTTGCCACGAGAGCTGACGCTGGTTCTCAGTGCTATCGGCAACCACATGGTCAACAGTATATGGGAGGCACGCACAATGGGCCACCGTAAACCAGCACCCGATGCTACACGGTAAGGACAAATCATCTTTATACATATATATATATATATATATATATATATATACACAAGTTTTCTTTTTTTACAGTATGGACACATGAGCTGTGCAGCTCTTTCTCTGAGTCCACTGGAAAGTCCAGTGCTGTCATCTGTCAGCTGTAAATGCTGATGACTCACTTGTTTCTCTGTCCTTGTCTAGAGAGGAGCGGGAATCGTGGATAAGAGCCAAATACGAGCAGAAACTGTTTGTGGCGCCGTTGCCTCCTCCTACGAGCGAGGGCCCAGACATCACTCTATCTGGCCGTCTTCTGTTGGCAGTGATGGAGCACAATCTCCCCAAGCTGCTGCTACTTTTGGCCCACTGCACTAAGGAGGACATTAATGCCCCTCTCAGCCTGGCACGCTCCTCCCGGTCGCTCTTAGCTCTGCGGCTGCCCGCTTCCCCCCTGCACGCTGCCTGTCAGCAGGCTGATGTGGTGATGACGCAGCTTCTAATTTGGGTTTGTTTCCCTTTGTCTCTCTTTTTTTTATCTTACACTGGTCCAGGCAGCTACGAAGCAGGTATTCTCAAAAATATATAGGGATGTTGCTGCAGTGGAGGTACTTGGTTAGGTAATGATTATAAATTTCTTCATCACAGCAAACCATTTTGTAGAGCTGTGCAAAAATGGTAAAATTACCTCCTTTGAGTCGTTCACTCAGCAAAGAACAAAAGTGGTCTAAATAGATGACTCAGCAGACAACTGAAGGTGATCTAAATGTCTGAAAGGTACAAAAGCTCTCTTAATCGCACCTTTCTGACATCATTTAGGGCAATCCTGTTCAGGCTTAACTTTTTTCCTACACATTCTAAAACTTCCTTGAAGTGTGGAGGATGGGATTATTACATAATCTAATCCACTTTGCTTTCTTCTCTTTTCCCGCCTGCAGTATGGCTGCGATGTTCGGTATCGGGATGCTCAAGGCCAGACAGCGTTGGCTCTGGCTCACAGCGCTGGCAGCCAAGAGTGTGTCGACATCTTGCTCCAGCACGGATGCCCGAATGAGCCGCCCCCATCCGTCGCCGCGACAGTCGGTTTCGCAGCGGCAGCCACATCCAGCTTCCCTGTTGCCATGACACCAAGCCTGACGGTTGCCACGACACTCAAGATCTCGCACAAGAGCGGCGGCACAAGCTTGAGTTACAGCACCTCCAGAAGAGCAGTGTCATAACCGAAATGTGGTGTGGCATAAAGCCTGTGCGTCAGAGTGTGTTAGAGTATATGTTTGTGTGTGTGAGTTTGTCACTTTACCCTCATAGTGTCATTGCGCGTCCACACAGGCCAGCGGGACTGATGGACATGTTGCCAGATGTTGCACTCGTAGAGCCAGATGAGGTTCTAAAAGGTGTCTGTGTGTGTATCAGGAGTGTAAACTGTGAATCACACAGCCACATGCAATCTGCTTGAACGATTTAACCAAAAAAAAAAAAGGCAAAGTCTTCTCATTACGCTTTACAAGTGACGGTAAGGTAAAAGGAATACGACATCCTCTGCCTCTGCATTCAGGTTTAAAGGAATGTATTTATCCTGTATGGAGGACTGAAAGTGCCAAAATAAAAAATAAGCGCATAAATGACAAAATGTATATAGATGAAATACAATTAAAATTATATTAAAATTAATATAAGCAAAGGTTAATTTATAAAATGTGACAGGCTGATATAGCATCTTCAGTTCTTCAATGATCTCCCTAGGCAGTTTTTTCTGTTGTCAGACTGGCATTTATTAACCAATTGACAAAAAGCTGATCCCACTTTAACTGTTGCAATTGTAGAAATAAATATAAAAGAAGGGAAATATACAGAAATAAATAGAAGGGGGATTAGGTTGCAAAGGGAAAAAATGTAAAATAAATAAAATTTAAATTTATTTATTTAAATGTATTATTACTTTTTTTTTTATTTTGGCACTTATAGTCCTCCATAGTTTATATCAGATTGTATGATTCACGTTTCAGAATGCAGTCAGTGTTCAACTTTATTCTCCACTCCATTAAAAATGGCCTCAAAGAAGCTTATCAGAGTATCTCCAGGCCAGACGTAAAGAGCTGCAATAAATTTTAAGATTTGAGGGGCATCTTGAATTTCTATAGCGTTAAAGATCGCAACAGTTTTTCATTTGGACTGTGAATGTGTGTTTATGCTTAACACAGCTGCTAATTCAGCTCATAAACGATGTGTAAGCCGACATGAAAAGGGGAGGGCTGTTTTAGAGATAAACAGAGTACGTGTATAGAAAAGCATTGATAAAATACTATGATTCTAAAAAAAAAAAAAAAGCCTAATTTTCCAGAGTGTTATTGTATGATTTGTACAGTTGGTTATGTGTATAAAAATCCAAGGGTTACTCTGTTCAGAGATTTACTGTACAGCGCCCCGGCCCAGTTATTCTTTGATAACCGCCTGATTAACTCTTTGACATCCAAAACGGGAGGTTTTTATGTTACGTTTGTATCGGTGTGTCTGACATAAATAATGTATAGGATGTATGCATTATGACTCCAGCAGTAGCTCATTATCAAGGCGAGTGTAAAACTAGATGTGCAAATGAACAAGTGAAATGCCTTGATTTTGGTCGAATGTAGAGAAAAAAAACAGATAAGTTAACTGTTTTAAAATACTAACATGTTTTTCCAGATAATGCAGTTTTTGGTGGACTGTCAGGGTGTTTTGTTTTTTATTCCTGCTGTGTCTAATAGAAAGGGAAAGTAGGGTTTGCCAGATGCAGATGTAGGCTCTCATCTACAAAACCTGGATTTTGAACGATTCGATATTTGTAAACATGCACCAGAGGAATGTTCCCCGATTTAATAGCTTTTTTTAACGGCATAAAAACATCTCTCCTGCGGTACTGTACGTATAAACTTGTGTTTATCTGAAGGCTCAGCTGACTATACATGTCTGTGATTTAAACATCTTCTTCCATTTGTATTCCATTTGTATTTTTTTACTCATGCAATGATTCACAGAGTATTCATTATTAATACACTAAGGCTACTGCCCAAGCTGTGGTGTTTTTGCTTAGAGTTGTGTGTGTGTGT